GGCGATTAGAACATGCTGTAGGTATTACAGGTACTGCGCTGCAGTGGTTTGTATCATATCTATCTAATAGACTCCAGTTTGTGCATGTAAATGGAGAGTCCTCTTCACACACTGAGGTTCATCCATCCTGATCCAGTCCAATCCTGTTTTGTAAGTGATTTCCGATCTGGACCTACTCTTCTGAGCCTGTGGTACATCTGAGGCGGATCTGATCCAGAGTCACATCTGATTAATCTCACTTCTTATTTCTTGTTGAGCGCTGCACATAACATTTTCGTGGAAATGGCATCAACATAGCAGCCCTCCAAGGAGACGCTTACAGTGCTGTTAGATTACATCAGAGGTGTCACAAATAAAAATGCCATTCCTTTTTACCTCCACAATACTGGTTTCTGAATATTGACAACTGACAACATTCTCCTAAGTACGAGGGTCAGGAGAACTGAGTATAGTGATTAGAAGAGTTGGATGTTCACTGCAGTAAGCCTCAGTACCTTGTCCAGTTTATCCACCGTTGAACAGATGGTTCGGAACTTGTCATCTGGAACGCCACACACCGCAAACATTCCATCAAGGATGCGTCGGTCGTTCACCTGCATGTAGAAGATGTGGTTAGAGATACTCACTCGCCACGGCAGCACTCAGCTCAACTACGTGACAAACCTTAATACGAAAGTCTCCGAGGTCCAGCTCGTTGAGGATCTCATGTACAATCTTTAGACACTCAGCATCTGGGATCATGGCGTCGTATTGCCCTGCTATGTCAAAATCCTGAAACGCAAACGCAAACACACATGTTAACCTTGTCACTTCTAAGTCAGTCATCAGTGGTGACGAGCAGCAGATGTCAGTGTAAACTGAAATAGTCAATAGATAAAATAAATACATAAAAATGTATTGTGCAAAGTGTTGCATCATCTACAAAGACTGTACGACAGCTTTGATGCTCTGGCGTCATATGTCAGCAGGGTGACCTGGAAGGTGAGATTTAATACAGAGATCTGGAAGGAGCCAGTGCTGAGGATGATGCAGGAGGAAGAGATGTTGTGGATTTTGCTGGTTAAGAAGTCCAGGACCAAATTGTAGAGGAGGAAGCTCAGGTTGAGACTTTTTGCACCCGAGTCTGAGCCAGGAACAATCTGTAAAAACGTTTTTTCCTGTAGCCCACAGTGACATTGATGGAATCCTTTATGTGGGCCTCGACGACCCTTCTGAAGCACTCCATGGCGATCAGGGAAAGGAGTGTGGACAGCATTTAACAGCCACATTTTTTTATTGCATCAGAGCAGTGACCGTTTACCAAAGTACACCAACCACCTGCTACTCCTCAACAATAGTTTTCCACATCTGTAGCCTCGGGTAGCTAGCTGTCACTACCCGATCCATACCGGAAACCCGATTGGTACCCCGCATGCGTGAAAGGTGTCTACTTCCGGTTGAAGC